AACTGAAGATGTGCATGCATGGAAAAGTTCTGCTGAGTTTTGATCTATGTAGTTACCTGCTTCTGCAAACCTACTGTTGTTTCGCTGATGTGGAAACAATGAAATTACCTTTTAGACAGAGAGTTGGCTGGAATGCTAGCCCAGTTGTATGGTCACCTTAACGTGCTGCTGCTACTGACATATTAAAGTAAAGACAGGTGTGAGTCGTGAAGCTCATTAAGTGATGGTGTTTAGCCACAGTTTGTTAAAAAATGATGATGGTTGGAGGATGGATTTAAATAATTTCACACATAGACTGTTAGAACTGGTCTTTATCTGTATTTTCTGTTCACTCAAGCTGGAAATGTGAGGGATTGGGTGAATTCTTAAAAGGACTCTAGAATATAGACTGGAAGTATTTTTTTGTTACTAGATACTCGAATGAACAAAATACAGTTACAAGACCTGCATGTATCCACTGGTGGGCCCAAACAAACAAACATTTCTACAACATTTGTGGAAGAGCATTAGAGTTTTGCAGTTTTACTGATTAACAACCAATAACTTTGTGTAAGCTCTTTGTTAAACTGTTTAGTTATGAGCTGAAGGAAAATGCTTAATGTTGCTTGAGAAAAAAAGATTATTTAAAGTTCACAAAAAATGTTTAAAAAAGAAAAGAGAAAGATTTAGACCAAAACATTGCTTTGGAATGATTCCAGTCCATTGTTTTAATGCTTGTAAGGAGTTTTGGCCTTCTATTAGATTTGTTTAGCCTTTTCCCTTTTGTTAAAATGTCCCATAAAGCAGTGATGGGCTAACATCAAGCATTTCAAATATGTTACAGTACCTTTGTACAGGTCAAACTGGCCCTTTAAAATGTTTACAAGAAAATGGTACATGTTTGCATTTTTTTCTACCTGAAACTCGGATGGCCCTAGCTTATTTGATAAACGTACAAATAACAACCAAAAAGATTAGCACACGTGCTACTGTACCCCACACATTACGTCCTTCATATGGTCAGTTTGACCTGCATAAACAGAGACATACAGAAATATGCCCACACAGACACACACACACACAGAGATGTGTTCAGAATATCAATCCATCCTTTGAGCTGCCAATTCCTGACTCGGTTCAGAAATTTTTCTTGATATAACCAATCTTACAATCTTAAGGGTATGACGTGTTTTTGGTGACCATTGAAAAGAGATGATGCATCTGCATGCCTACTTTGGCATCCTCATCCTGTCTAGTGACCACAGGTCAAGAGAGGAGTTGACTGAAAGTCTAGTGGGGTGCTGAGACAGGGAGAGCCATTTTTAGGGCCACAATGTGTCTAAAAAGCTTCCATGTATTGTCAAGGATCATTAGATTTGACATCTGGAAATCAAGACCTCTTAGACGGCTGGGGGATGAGTTGCCAGCAATCCACAGTGTGGGACCAATGGGTTTACCGGCTCGGCCTATTGTCACTGTGGTGGAACGGCTTGTAGGGTCTAGAGACCACTGCCCTTTCAGACAGTATATGCCCACAAAGCCAGCAATGTATGAAATCAAAATCTGGGCTGACGGAAGAGTGCTCTTTTTGAAGAGCACTCTTCAAAAAGACGGAGCAATAAGTACCAGAGAGGACCTTAAGCTAGAGGTCATACTTGACTACAATGCCACCAAAGGAGGGAGAGACAACCTAGGGAAACTTCTGCCCTACTACAGCTGTTACAGAAAAAGGCTACAGTGGCCACTCGAGATTTTTTTTAAATGCTAGAAATTTCAGCCTATAATGCGTTTACAATCTGGAACGCATACAACCCAGACTGGAACCATAGGAATCTTCAAAAAAAGGAACTGTTGCTTTAGTAGCAAGTCAAGGCACTAGTGACACCATTTTTTAAAACCAAGATAAGCATGATTTATCACAACCAAGTGTTAAGTATAGTAGATTTGAACAAATAACAAAAAGAATAGTCACGTTTCCATCGTTAATTGTGTTTTAGTTGAGACCAAATGTGATGTCCAATGTACTGTATATGCTATAATTTGCTATAATATCTGAATGGTTTAAGTGAAATTTTATATTGGAATTGTTTTAAAAATCCCACATATGTAAGAAGGTCTCAAAAGTGAATACCATACAAGGATTAAGTTCTAACAACTTTTCAATCATTTATAATCCAAGTAGCATTTCCAGAGATCCTTTTTTTCCTGCCATTTGTGAGTTTTGCTGTCAACTTGTTTAACAGAGCTGTGCTTCTTCAGGCTAAATGAACTGGAGCAAAACATATGATTATTACCATAAAAAGATATTTTCTGCTCCTTTAATAGGAGTTTTTGCATGCATTTTCAGTGTTTTTCTTCAATGAAAGTCATGTGATTTAGGTGCTTTGATATGTGTTGCTTGGCCTGGATATGCTGTTTTGCTTCTCATGTCTGCCTGAGGTATGGATAAAAGGTACAAAAGATTCCTGTTGGGATGCTTAGAATGATGAACGATGTCCACAAAAGAAATCTAGGCTGTATGGGGCCATACTTCCTGCTGTGGTGCTCCTGCATGAGTTGCTTTTTGAAGAACCTTTCGAGTTCCCTCTGATTAAATTTACCTTTAAGTGCAAGATAAAACATACCCTGGCTGAACCATATTGAAAGGTTAAGGTTTTCTCCATTGTTATTGAGTGCAAGTATTTTGCATGGCGACCTAGTAAAGACTCTCATTGGCAACAAATTCTTCTAGTGAAATGAAATGGTGTTTTTGCAGTTTTGACTGACTGAGCATGCTCCATGTAGATCTTCTAAAGAGGAGGACCAACAGAGGGAGCCATCAGGTCATATGACCAACGATGTGAATGCACATATGAGGAAAAGAATAGAGGAGAAATCTGTTTTCTGCATCTCACACTCTGCCTCTCTCTATGTCCTTCCCCTTCCCATTCCCTCTCCCTCCATCTGTCACTCTCTCTCCGACGCCTTCCTTTCTCAGTGGAGGCTATTAGCAGAAAGCAGGTATGATGCTTCCTTGAGGCACAAGGCAAGAAAGAAATGTTACTTCATTTTATTTGCCCACGGTTGGCTTTTCAGAGTCTTAGCAGATGGACAACCTTGCCTTCCTGCTCTTTTTAGCCTATTTTTAAAGATAAACATTGCTGTCAATTGGTTTGAGTTCTTGCTCTTTAATCTTTGACATGATTACTCTGTTGTTGTGAATTAACTTCCCAGTAACTGAATACTCTTGGTTCATGAATTGGAAGAGATAATTTATGTTTTTTTAGTAACATCATAGATCCATCAAAGGTATATTTGGGTGGGGGATTTTGGAGTGAATTTTTGTAAGGGGACTCTAATGAATTTTCACAACAGCTGAATTCATGTACTGCAGATTGTTCCAGACTCAGGAAGATGGAATCATTTGAAAAACGGGAACCTGATCAGCCTGTTTTTATGTTTTTTTCCTTTGATGCTCTCTTCTTTTCTCTCTCAGTGGCATGCATGTAAGGCCCCCTGGGGACGTGATGCATGCTCTGCATGGACTTTATAATCAGAAATATACATGAAGATAATGCTGTGTTTCTTTAAAAATTCATAGTAAGAATATTGTCATGAAAGAATTGCTTTCATGTTTAGCTGCTCTTTCTGACCTGTCACAATTTTTCCATGATCAATATTTGATTATTTTTACATAATCATTAAAAACATTCCCCACTCGTAAGTAGGTTGACTAAAAGGAAGCTTAGTGACACTTCTATCTCTGTTTTCTATTAAAGCTGTAAAACTGGCATATTTTGGTGTGTTTGATCACAGAGCAAGGTTTTTTTATCAAGCAACACTGAAATACTGATAACTGGAAAATGAAAATAAGTTTTTATATTATACGTCTCCTGGGGCTCGTTCCCCACAGCACAAAAACAGATTATTTGGAATGTGTATGCTTTGTGTTTCGGTAGCTCCATCTTGTTCTTATATCTCTTGTAAGAGATTTAAAGATAGGCCGCATCAATGTGAACACTAATGCCTTCACATACCAAGAGACAGTGAATGTCTGAATCGGTAGTTTATTTCAGAGCAGTAGGAGAATGGAACAGTTAGAAGCATATTTGCAGTTTCACTACACAGGGTAATTTAGATTTTTGTTTTGATCCATTAAGGCTTCATAGTTAAAATCATGGCTCTCCTGGCATGGAAACCTAATTTGGCTCTTTTCAGGTTTAATGAACCATTTAAGACTACTTATCAGTCCTCATAGCTTTAGATTTGGAGCTATGTTCAGAGCTATGTTCGGGAGCCTCCATAACCTTATCCACAGCCTTTCAGACCCATAGAGTCCCCATCTAGTGGAAAAGTGCTGCAATGACCATGTTATGTCAGTAAACACTGGTTGCGAAATGGCGGAGATCTGCAGGCAACCTTTTCTGCCCCCCCCCCTTTTCCTGTCTCCAGCCTGAATGTTTCACCTTCCGCCACTAGGGGGAGAGAAGAAGCCAGTGCTTTTTTGGTTTCAAATTATTTTTCCATTCATAACTTGAGGGAACTGAAGGGGTCTTCCCTGCCTTGCTTACACAAATTCTTTTTTGCAGGTCAAATCCCATAAAAGACTGACCCAGATGATCTTTAAGAATCACGTTTAGCTTGCCCGAAATAACATCAGTGGAGTGGTTCGGTGTGCCTTGTTGCTGTATGAAGAGGTGCTTCTTTGTGTTTGGCACTGAGACTCAGGTTGCACATGTTTGGGGAAGGATTTCGCTTTGTTGTTGTGTGAGTAGGTCTTTCTTTGTGTTTGGCCCTGAGACTAGCACATGTTTGAGGAATGATTTGGGCAGTCTGTCATGATGGTTTAGTTTGTTTGGGTCAGGCAGACAGGACTTGTGTAGCACACCTGAAGAGCCGTTAAAGGGTGATTTACCAGTGACTTAGTAAAGTGGAGCTTTCTATGGCCTGTATATTTTTGGTTTCTTTATCGTAAATAATTTTAAAAAGCCCTTTTTGCCTTGCTTCAAGTTTCCTTCTTCCATGTCTTCGTTTTTCACCAGCCTACTGGTACAGCCGTGGATAAGACGGCATCCACAAAGAAAGATGGTCTCGATCCAACAAGCAATGGGGAAGAGAAGCCAGGTATCCCCTCAAATTCATTGGAAAGGGATTTCTATATGCACATTATCTGTGCATAATGTGATCCCTTTTTTCTCTTTTTCCCCTTTTCATGCAAAGATGGAGACAGAGAGGCAGCAGAGAGACTGACCTCTTCTCCTGAAGTGGAAGCGATGGTCAACGGAACCGAACGTGACGACGTGAGGCACAAGAACCTGATGACAAGCAACAATAAGTCTGTAACGCTGGTAAATGAAAACGGCACATCAGACGTGGAGCCGCTGCATGGCTCCCATGCTGGAAGCAATGGATTAATTCTGGTCAACCAGCAGCAGCAGGACAACAGCGCTGCAGTGACACAGGGTCTGGCAGTTACCCCTCATAGGACTAACTGGAAGCCCTCAGGCTTAGCGACAGGCGCACACAGAGCCACACCGCTCCCTGCCTCGGCAGCAGGGTGCTCAACGAGTTCAGGTGCTTTAAGGACTGCCCCCAGTACAGGGACTGTGTCGGGACAGGGGACATCAGATGCTAAGAATGGCACAGTTTCATGTCCTGTCCCAACTTCAGCGCCAGTTACAATACACAGAGCACGCAAGACCATGTCCAGACCTGCTGTCAGCCCAGCACAAAAGGTAAACCAGGGTCAAGAGCTAGGGATAGTTATTGTCTTTTTCTACATTTGCTGTATTTCTTTGGGCATATTCATAATTTAGCTATAAGAAGGTCAGTGTGATGTGTTTTATCCATGTTAAAACAAAAAAAATGATGGTGTGAATGTACTCTTGTGTCTACAATGATTAGCTGGCTCATGACATTTAACAAACAAACTGAGGGATAGCTGTGGTATGAGATTGGATGGAGGTACTCAAACTAGAGACTTGCGTGGTGGTACTTGAGTTTAATTATCATTGCATATATTGCTTTATACCTTTTAACTTTCTGTATGTATTATAATGTATAAATGAGTGAATTAGTTAATGAAATTATTCTTAATTTCAAGGTTTTCTTTCTCTGTCATGAATTGTTGACATGGAAGTTATTTCCTCATTACTTGACTGGAAAGTGTGCCTAAAACACATCCTATTTGTCATCTCCAGCTTCTTAACAGGGAATTAAGAGAAGCAAAAAGTGCCAAAATCGACACTCAGGTTGTGTCTGATGTGCAGAAAACCTCTCAGCCGTCATCTGCTCAGAACCATCTACCTCAGAATCCGCCAGATACGCCAGCATCAACACAGACTGCTTCAACAGCCTCACCAGCAGCTCAGACAGAGCTGGCAGTTCCTTCAGCTCCTCCAGCACTTGCCAAACTCCAATTAGGTGAAACCAATTCTGACTACAAATAGCGGTGTAGTTAAGCAGGGTTAAGACGAGAATAATGTCTGGTGAGTTTTGCCACAACTATGTGTGTTTTTCTCTTTTTCAGTAGGGTCATACTCAGCGGGTTATGTGTCCCGTAAGAAGAAGAGGAGGATGGGGACGTACAGCCTGGTTCCCAGGAAGAAACCCAAAGTCCTTAAGCAGAGAACTGTGTTGGAGATGTTTAAGGGGCAACAGCAGTCTGTCAAGAGCCCACAGGTCTTGGCTCCTACCCTTTTTAAAAAGAAGTCCATTATCATTTATATGTTAACCTTTTAAAGCAAGTAAAATGTGTTTTTTTTTGTGTGGCACAAATGATATGAGTTGGCTTGACTGACAGCAAAGCCCATATTTTAGCATAAAATAAGGTTAAAAAGCTTGCTGGGTGGATTTAGCTTTTCAAGTAAATTGCACATTTTGACTTATGAAATGGGAAGTAAGTGCAAGGCAGAAAAGAAGTTAGAAAACTTTAAAAAAAGAAGAACACGTTATATTTAATGGCTGTAATTGTGCAGTTTTAGTTCCTAAAAGCCATCAAAGATGTTGATTCACAACAGAACAGTATTCGGTTGATTTGTAGCTGTTGTGATGCTACATCACTCGGAACCCTAAGTAGTTTAAATGTTACTAAGTGTTTATGTTCGACATGGTGAGGAGCTGCACTTCTGAGCTACTCATCCAGCAAGTTCTGATGATGCTGTATGATGCAAAATACATGACTCCTGAGCCCATGTAGTTTGTCTTTATTGCATAACTTAGCATCCTTTACACAGTGGGTATCTTCATATTCTTTTAATCTGAGAAGATCAGAGAAGGCTCTGCCTCTCTTATGTGGTCTTTTTACTCATAATAATGTTACACATCTCCTGCCAATTAACCCGATTAGTTAAAACCCATTTTTTCAGCTGTATCAAATTTCCGGCCATTCAAATTTTTCTAGGCATCTGGATTATTTAAAAACACTTTGTTGCTGTCAGATCTCAGATAAGCAATTTTCTATGTAAAAAATAGTTAGAGCTGTTTTTCTGTTTAGAATGGGTTTTTCTTCCCTTACATTTGGGTTCTCTTTTTTGACAAAGGTTTTTTTTCCCCTATAAATTACTTAACGCCTTAAAATGGTGTATGATATGGTTACACATTGAATGGATGTCAAGAATGTTTTGGTCTGCTGTTTGAATCTAACTGTGTGGCGCTTTGCTGCGATGTCAGGGAAATGCTCACTTGGGGAACTTCTATTGCCTTCTCTCATATTGCTTTCCAATGTAAAAATCACTGATATTAATGTTTGAAATTAATTATTGCCACTTTTTGCTTCTTGTTATGGATGGTGCTTCCATTCAGTCTATTGTTTTATGATTAAGTCTAATAGACTGTTTTTAAATCTTTGAACTGTGTTGCAACACAATTATTTTAAAGAAAAGTGAGCAGTTATTTCAGCTAAACACCTGTGTTTTAATGTAAATTGGACATGTGAAGCCAGATTTATCTATTTGCTCTACATTGTTTTTCAGACAAAAGAAGTTACAAGCATAAATGGGGAAAAGGTGGGTAATGCGTCTGAGGAGGAAGAGTCAGAAGATCTGGAGTCTGAGGAGGAAGAACAACAACAGCAGCAGCCAGTGGGGGAACCTGTTTCTGCTATTCAGGAAGCAACCGAACCATCTGATCAGGTTCCAAATTAACTCTCTCTCTTCATATCACCTTTATACAACTTGTGCTCATTTGTGTTTTATGCGGAATGAACCTCTGATTGAGGTTTCTGTGCAAGATATTCTGATTGTGGGAAGGAGAAAAACTGCTTCAATGCTGCCAACAGGCAACAATATTTTCTTTGTAAAGTGTATGCAAACAGCTCAGTTTAAACCTTTGGCATTTCTAACTCAATTTCTTTGTAATCTAAGTTGTATCTTAAATGTTGCTGATGGACTTTGTTTACCTTTTGTGGTTGGAGGTGAGAGATGAGCAAGAAGAATCGGAAGAATCTGGTGAAGAGGAGGAGGGTACAGAGTCGGACTTGGTAAGACTCTTAGCATCATTCGCCTCTGTAACCTCATCAGCGTATTAGATCTCATCGCATTCCTTAAGCTACAAAGGTCTGAACTGATGTGAAGGCAGTTAAATGTCTTCTTTTGGTGCTTTTCTGATGTTTTTCTGAAATAATCAGTGACTGAACATGTCTGCCGCAGAGCACTGAGTCTAGTTTAAAGAAGACGATGAAAAAAAAAACTAAAGCAGACAGTGCCTGGCTCAAACCTTCCAGGAAGAGAAAAAGAAGGATGAAGGCCAAAGGTGATCTCACAAACACACACACACATGTTTATGGTCAGTCAGCCGCTCGTCTTTAGCGCTCATGTTGAATGAAGTCAGGAGAAAAGCAAACATACATTTTTTAAAAGAAGATATTGCCTGGCCTTCATGGGGAATTGAAAATAAAGCAAAAGGACGTAGTGCATGGCTGGAAACTGCTAGATGTATTTCACCAAAGGCGTGCTCCAGGGCAGTTTAAGCCCTGGGAAAATGCAAATCATAGGTTGGTGTATGTTTATAGTAAGGCCTTGCGTACAAAGGGAATGATCCTCAGTTTAAAAAAGGCTATTTGTAGAAAAAGTAGATCTGAGGAAAAGGTCCCAGGTCTTTGACAATCTGAAATTAACATATGAACTCCTTTAAGTGGATGTAAATAAGTGATGCTCCAAATTATCACGAAAAATCTTTGCATCGATTGTACTTGTAACAGTGTAATTGGCACAAAGGGGCCAAGATATTTATTTTCTCCATTGTAGAAATGTATAGGATATTTTAAGACATTTTTCAAAATTATATTGACAAACCAATTTACTTAAATTCTTTAGCTTATTCCATTAAAACTTTGATACATCTATTCTCACGTTGGTTCACATAGATTTTTCCCGATTGAATGTGTTGCTTCAAACAGTGCATGTTGTGTTGTTTCTCTGTGCAACTGTTTATGTTAAAAACATAGATGTTTTCTAACTATTTACAGTTTTACGCTCAGAAACGGAGGCAGTAGGTCAGCCCCAGGTTTCAGCTCATGTTTCTGTACACGATGAAAGGGGATACACACACCTTCTTCCGTCCGAGTCCATAAACCTCAGCAAGACGCCACACAACAAAGGTGAGTTTAGAGCAAATCAAATTTACCATATAAAAACAATTTTCAGAGTAGGACACAAGGTTACCCACTGAATGCAGGTACGTGGTTTTAAATCGATCTTCTGTTAATGGAAAATCACTTTGAAAATAGTCTCAGCCTTTTTGTTGCTTTTAGCTAATTCATTTTGACTACATACTTCAGTAGGGTGGGTTTTGAAGGGGACTGGAAGCAACGTTTTTTCTTTTCTACATGGCAGACAGGAAAATGCACCTCAGGAACAGTTTAGGCTGTTTATATTGGCATATTTGTAGCTTTGACTCCATAAACGTGGACTTTAGCAGCATTCACTGTTGTTTCCAACATTTTCTTTTTGTTTTGTGAAGTTCCAAAGTCATCAACTTAACCCCCTGTGACTTTAAGGGACTTTGAAACTGACAATTTAAAAAAAGTCACCTGAATGAAGGTAAAAATATTCATCCTTCCATCCTGCCCCAGCGAGCCGGGTCGGGTCGCGGGGGCAGCAACCGAAGCAAGGAAACCAAGACTTCTGCCTGCTCCTCCGGGGGGATCCCGAGGCTTTCCCAGGCCAGCCGAGATACATAGTCTCTCCAGCGTGTCCTGGGTCCTCCTCGGGGCCTCCTCCCGGTGGGACGTGCCCAGAACACCTCACCAGGGAGGCAACCAGGAGGCATCCTGATCAGATGCCCAAACCACCTCAACTGGCTCCTCTCTACGTGGAGGAGCAGTGGTTCTACTCTGAGCCCCTCCTGGATGGCCGAGCTTCTCACATTATCTCTAAGGGAGAGCCCAGCCACCCTGCGGAGGAAACTCATTTCGATCTTGTTCTTTCGGTCACTACCCAAAGTTTGTGGCCATAGATGAGGGTCGGAACATAGATCGACTGATAAATTGATAGCTTCACCTTTAAGCACAGCTCCCTCTTCATCACGACAGACCGGTACAGCGCCCAAAGTACATGCCACACTCGGACTCAATGTCCCCGACCTCCCTCGGAATGTGCTCAAAGCTCTCCTGGAGGTGGGAGTTAAAGCTCCGCCTAACAGGGGACTCCACCAGGCCTGCCTGGTCTCACCGGCATCCTCCTCCACCATCGGAACCAACTCAATACCAGGAAATGGTCAGTGGAAAGCTCCATCCCCCTCTTCACCCGAGTGTCGAAGACATGCGGCTGAAAAGCCGCATGTTGCATGAGCTGCATGAGCCGCATGAGCTGAAAAGGGAAAAAAGTCGATAATTGAACTGCGTGGGGTGTCCTGGTGCCGAGAGCTCATATGAACAACCTTATGCCTGAACATGGTGTTGGTTATGGACAATTCGTGCTGAGCACAGAAGTCCAACAACAAAACACCACTCTTGCTCAAGCTGGGGGGGCCATTTCTCCCGACCACGCTCCTCCAGGTCTCACTGTCGTTGCCCATGTGAGCGTTGAAGTCCCCGAGCAGAACAAGGGAGTCCACGGGTGGGCACCCTCCAGCACCCCCTTCAAGGACGCCAAAAAGGATGGGTACTCTGCACTGCTGTTAGGCACATAAGCTCCAACAACAGTCAGCACCCGTCCCCCCACCCGAAGGCAAAGGGAGGCTACCCTCTCGTTCACCAGGGTTAACCCCAACGTATAGGCACCAAGATAGGGGGCAACAACTATGCCCACTCGTGCTCTGCGCCTCTCACCGGGGGAAACTCCAGAGTAGAAGGGCATCCAACCCCTCTCAAGAAGTCTGGTTCCAGAGCCAGAGCTGTGCATCGAGGTGAGACCAACTATATCCAGCCGGAATCTCTCTCTTCTCGCACACCAACCCAGGCTCCTTCCCCACCATAGAGGTGACATTCCACCTCCCTAGAGTCAGCTTCTGCAGCCGGGGATCGGTTCGTCAAGGTCCCCGACTCCGGCCCCCACCCGTTCCACACTGCACCCAAGTCCTTTGGCCCCTCCTATGAGTGGTGAGCCCAATGGAGGGGGGACCCATGTGGCCTCTTTGGACTTAGCCAGGCCGGGCGACCTCCATGGGTTAAAGCCCAACCAACGTGCCCCACATCTGGGCCTGGCTCCAGAGTGGGGCCCTGGTGACCCCCGTACGGGTGAGAGTACACTTGGCCCATTCGTGTTATTCATCATAAGCGGTCGTTTGGGCTTCGCTTCGTCTGAACCGTCACCTAGGAACTGTTTGCCTTGGGTGACCCTTCCAAGGGCTTGAAGCCCCGGACAACATAGCTCCTGAGATCACTGGGACACTCAAAGTCCTCCAGCACAATAAGGTTGCAGCCCAGGGAGGGGAGGCAAAATATTGCAAGGATTCCTTGTTTGGCATTTGTTTTTCAAGGTTTATTGCATTCCAGATACTCTTACCCTCAGAAATTTGGTCTTCCATTTCATTATACAGTATACAGCAACATGGCTCTTGTATACTTTAGTAGCATGAGGAGGGATATGAACTGCTTATTATTCCAGTCACACAGACAGGACAGACTGCCTCTTTCTATGTATGTGTATGTGAGCGGACTCTGTGTGAATGCAGAAGTGATTGGAATCATGTCAAAGGGACCGGCCTGTTACCATTAAAAAATGGTAGTTATTTGGAAACACCAAAACCTGTGCTGTCCAGTTTGTAACCATCTACATATACATTATTGTGGGCATTCTCTGTGAAATTGATTGTATATTTTGTTTTTTTTTACCTCCCATGTTACTCAGAGCAAAGTGTTGTGTCATACACTTTTGTTTCCAACCATAACGGATAGTAGGCACAACGTGTGGAGAATTTTCAGTTCATTGGTTAAAAACGTAATCTTTTTAGCTCTTTTTCTGATGAAACAGCTCCTTATCTAAATAAAGCTTAATTCCTGAGGGTTAATTGTGTTTCTTTTCAGATTCTTTGGGGTCAACGGTTGAGGAGGCTCAGGAACTTCCGCTCTGCAGCTGCCGCATGGAGACCCCCAAGAGTCGAGAGATTCTCATACTGGCTGACAGGAAGTGCATGGCCACAGAGAGTGTTGATGGACAGTTAACCCGCTGCCAAAGTGCCGTACTCAAACACGAAATGATGCGCCCCTCAAACTCTGTTCAGTTGCTTGTTCTGTGTGAAGACCACCGCAGCAGCATTGTTAAACACCAGTGCTGTCCCGGCTGTGGCTTCTTCTGTAGAGCAGTGAGTACACAGGCATCCTGCTGCCATATAAGCATGTGTGCCTTTTAACTAGACGTTAATAGAAAATGTGTGTATGTATATATATATATATATATATATATACACATATATATAAGTTATGCTTTAGGGCCAAAAAAACTTCTGTATCTACATTAACCAGGTAACGTTATCTAATATGATCGAAAGTGGGAAATTTTAAATTCTAGTTTGAATGCTGAGCCTTTTTTTCTTCATTTTTCTTGTTACCTTTTGCTTTTTGGATATTCTATCCTCCTGGGTTTTGAAGTGATGTACTGTGCTCCAAACTGTAGATTGTTCTCATTTCACTTTAATGCTCGAGGGTTTTCTAAATGTCTTCTCACTGTTTTTCTATGTGCAGGGAACCTTCATGGAATGCCAGCCAGATGTCAATGTCTCTCACCGTTTCCATCGGGCATGTGCTTCTATGCTGCAAGGTCAAAGCTTCTGTCCCCATTGTGGAGAAGAGACCAGCAAGGCCAAGGAAGTCACCATAGCCAAGGCCGACACCACCTCCACCGTGCCCCCAGCTCTCATACACTGGCCTGTCACACCTGTAGCTCCCGAGGGCCGAGCTGACACCACCACTGGAAGGTTAAATTCACACTTTGGCACTGTTTTAAAGAAAGGAAATCATTTATTTAATTATTCAAAAGAGTAAACTGATAAATTGGAAACGTCCTGTTTTTCAGCTCCTCTTGTTTGACTCTGTGCACTGAGACCACTGGCCAAGCTGACAGTTCACTCTCCATACGTTCTGCTCCTGGACTCGACATCTCAGATGGTCCTGGGTTTTCCCGGGATGTCTCCCTGCACATTGGGGTGGGTACGAATGTCCCCCCTGCTCTCCCTCCTGGACCACCGAAAGAAACTCTAGATAGCATCTTGGTGGCTCTTGACATGGAGAAGTAAGTAGGACTGCTTGAAGGTCACCTTATTGATGTATTTGAAAAACACTGAGGGGACATCATTTTTATGTTTTCTTATTTGTTTTCTTGTCAGGCCCAAAAAGCTGCGGTTTCACCCCAAGCAACTTTACCTCTCTGCCAAGCAGGGAGAACTAAAAAAGGTCTTGCTTATGTTGGGTATGTGAAGCCTGTTCAGGGTGCTCATGGCCAACTTGGCTCCTGCAGTTCTCGATTTTTCAAAGAGCATTTTAAAATGTGAAAACATGTTTCTTTCTCTATCTCAGTGGATGGAATTGACCCAAATTTTAAGATGGACTCTCAGAATAAACGCACACCACTGCATGCAGCAGCTGAGGGGGGTCACAAAGACATCTGCCACATGCTTGTACAAGTAAGACTGGATTTCAGACCTGATGTTGAGGGAATTTAAAACATTTTTATTGACCTTTATTAACATAGTGGGAGAGTTAACATTTGCTGCGCTCTGCGATGCTTCAGGCTGGAGCAAACTTAGACATGTGTGATGAGGATCAGCGAACTCCACTAATGGAGGCTTGCGAGAACAATCACATGGAAGTGGTTTTGTATCTGCTGAGAGCTGGAGCTAGTGCCACTCACAAGGTAAGCCTGCATCAAGTTTATCCAGAATGTTAGCAGCCCGTGTTTTGTCAGTTTTCAGGCTGTAAAAACGAAACTTGTTTGAGTATATTGAACTATTTTGCTCCTATAGAAATCTGTAGAAATGACAGATTATACAATAATATTGACATTTATACTGATATTTAAAATGTTTCAACTTTGGTAGTGATCAATAAATGTCATCTGTCGCTCTCAGGATGCTGAAGGGTTCACATGTCTCCACCTAGCTGCAAAGTCTGGTCATTACGAGATTGTTGAGTACCTTTTGGGCACAGGACTGATTGATATAAACTGCCAGGTAAGTAGAATTTCATGCATTTCTTTATTAGGAGCATTTATTTATTCCTTCCTAAAAAATTAGAAAACACATTATTATTGTATTATGTGCACTTTTGTCATTTTTGGAGTGGACCACTTCTGCCGTTATCCTGCTTTTTCAAGTTATGTGACAGTTTGGAAAGAGGCAAAGACCCCAAAGGTCCAGCCAGTAGCAGTAGTGAGGCCTAACAGCTTTGTTACAACCAGCCTAAGCTACTAATAATCTAAGGAGAATACTCCTAAAGAGAGCAGGGGGAGAAGATGACTCACAAGCAGACTACATGGTGACTTACACTGGTATGGACATGGCTATAACATGGGACTCTGTGGAGGATAGGGGTTCGGACATATTTTATAGGGCTAAAGCTCCTCAGCATAGTTCTCAGGGAAAGGTGAGTGTAGCTACAGAGAATAAATGTGGTAGGCTAGAGGGGAAAAAAGCCCCATGTTTGTCCTTGTGGCTGGCAGAAAGTAACATCAGCTAGAGGCCTTAAAATGCATGAGGGTGGATTATAAAATAAGGGCAGTGTGGCTGCATCGATCAGTACTTTAAAAAAAATCAGTTGAGTAAGTTAAATTAAATCCAGTGTCGGGTAGTAAACCACAGTCCACAGCATATCCAAAACACAGCTACCAAGGTGGAGGAGGAGGTGCTACAAAGTGATAAAGCTAATACTGAGGTCAACACACCAGTCAGTCTGAAATTTAGAAAAAGATAGCTACGGTGCCTAGGGTAAATGGCAAAAAAGAATGGGAGGCAGTCAATATTTTATATTGATATATAAATGTTAATATATAAATATAAAATATTAATTTATAAATGAATATTTAGAAGATGACAGTTAAGAAGGGAAGGAAGGGTTGTTTTGCAGGAACAATTCAGAAGGAGGTGAGCAGTACTTAGATGAGTGGATAATCTTAGGAAAAAGAGAGAAGAGAGAATATGTAAGCTGTTTAAGTTTTTTAAAGAATTATTTTAAAGGATTATTTTTCTAGGAAAAAGGAGGACATGTTAAAGCAGCAAAGTCATGTCTAAGAGATAAATATTCAGATCTTGAGCTGTAGGCCTTTCAGGCTCATGAGATGTTTGACCACCTAGTGGAAAGAAGTTGAGAAAAGAGTCAGGTGTGCAAAGACTTTGTTGACCCCAGGGCAAATGTGGTCCCTTGCCTGATTTTTATAAAAGTGCACCTGACGCACAAATTTTTTTGTAGAGGCAGCCAAGAAAAGTTTGAGACGAGAAAATTATTCCCAGAGCATGGTGTAGGACAGGAGACATTCTTATTCCAAAGGACGAAGATTCCTCAGACCTGAGTCAGTTCAAAATGATATCTCTTCGAAATGTAGAGGGGAAATTTTCTTTAGTGTAGGATAGGCTAAAAAGATGCCACTGTGCAGAAGGAAGAATGCCAGGTTTCGCATGATTTTTAGAGCACACTGGCATGATTTGGCATCAGATTGAGACATGATTGAGAAAAGGGACTTGCATGGTATATTCTGGATTTAGCAAATGCATTTGGTTCAGTGCCACACAGCCTTTGTTTGGAAAACAAAGACTGATTATTTTGTGTGTGCCAGTATTACTCTTGAACTTAGAGCATCTTTTCACACTACACTGTGCCTAAGTACAGGTTGCCAGAGGCTAGAAATAGACGTTATGGCAGGTTGTACGATTTCTCCAGAAGCATTTACATTGGCAATGGAGATAATTATTAGAGCTTCTTGTGGTTTACATGGATGATATGACATTGGAGGCTGTAGTAGTGCCATGTATGAGGAGAATACTTGAGAGACTTGTTGTTTTAATGTGGAGCAATTTATGCTCAAATGCTGCTTATAAATGCACTAACGTTAGCACTAACTTAAGCATCCTTTTTCATATAGGATGATGGAGGCTGGACAGCCATGATCTGGGCCACAGAATATAAACATGTCGACCAGGTGAAGCTGCTTCTTTCCAAAGGGGCAGACATCAGCATCAGGGATAAGGTTGACCAACAAATATTTACTGCCTCTACTACTTTTTTTTTTTCTTTTCTTTTTTAGATTTCAACATTATATTATATTGTCATATCAGATACAAGTAAACTGTTGATTTCTTAGTAATGGTGCTGTTGTGAGAGGAGCGTATTCTTCCCTTTAAAATCGTAATTTCTCATTTGTGTAAATGACTGACTGACTGACTGACGGACTGACGGACTGACGGACTGACGGACTGACGGACTGAC